AAAGAAAGTGAAGAAAAAAAAAAGGAAGGAAGAACGTAGAAAGACAGACAGAGAGAGAGAAAAAAAAAAACAATGAGAGAGAGAGCAAAAAAGATAATAATAATAATAATATAAGATAATAGTAACACTAATAATTAAAAAAAAAAAACGGTAGAGAGAGAGAAAGAAAGAGGGAGAGCAAAAAAAAAAAGTCATAAATAAATAAATAAATAAATAATAATAATAATCATAATAACAATAATAATAGATAAAAAGAGAAAAAAATCGGGAGAGAGAGAGATCACCTGAGAGAGAGCAAGAGCACGAGGGTAATGGATGGCCCAGAGCTTGACTTTCAGCTCAGATTTCCCTTCGCCTTTTTGCTGCCAACAACACCGGTATTATCCCAGACTTCCGCAAGGGGTGGGTGGGGGGAGCTCAGGGCAGTGGAGGATTTTGAGGAAGGAAAAATGGCGAGGGGATGGGCGAGGGGTCGGGGGTCGGAGCGGAAGGGAGGGGAGCCGTGAGGTGGGTTGGAGTGTGGGGTGAAAAATAGGGGGTGTGGTAGGGGTGGTGGGTTATGGGGGGTATGGGCATAGGGAAGGAGAGGGGGAGAGAGGACATGGGCAGGGTAAAGACCTTCCCCCTATCCCCTATTCCCCTTCCCCCTCCCGTCTCCCCCGCAACCCTCCTCCCTCCCCCACACACCCGTTTTCCCCGAGACATGACAATGCGAACTCTACGGACATTTCTCGCCGCGTTTCACTATATATTTTGCCGTATGGACGCTATATCCTTGGCGCACGTCGTCACGAGCCGGGCCGTGAGCAATATTACGACCGTTGGCTGTCTGGGATCCCGCAGTTCCACGCCTGTACGAGATGTTGGAGCAGCGTTGCGTGAAAGCGTGGAGGGGAAATGGGGAGGAGGGGAGGAGGAGGAGGAGGAGGAGGGAGGGAGGAAGGAGAGGAGGAGGAGCGTAGGGAGAGTAAAAGGAGAGAGGAGGAGGAGGGGTAGGGGAGGAGAGTAAGAGGAGGAGGAGGAGGAGGGAAGGCAGGGGATATGGGAGGGGAGGGAAGCAAGAAGAGGGGAGGAAGAGGATAAGAGAGAATGGAAAAAAGGGAGCGGGAAGGAGAAGGGTAGGAGAGGAAGGGAAGGGAGAGGAGCAGGATGGGGAGGGAGGGAAGGAGGAAATGGAAATAAAAGAGAGCGGGAACAGGGAGTGTAGAAGGAGGAGGTGTGAATAAGGAGAGAATGGAGGGAAAAAACTGCGAGGATAGAGGAAAAGGACAAAGCGGAAAGAAAATGAAGAAGTAAGATATGAGGAAGAAAAAAAGAGGAAATAGAAATGAGAGAGGATAAGGACAAAAGGAGTGAGGGAGGAGGAGGAGGGGACTAGGCGGATGGAGAGAAGGAGTAGGAGGAAGAGGAGAGTAATTTGAGAAGAGTAAAGGAAGAAGAGAAAAGGGAGAAGGATAGTAGGATTAAAAGGAAAGGGGGGAGGGAGGAAAGAGGAGAAGAAGAAGAGAAGAACAGAGGAGGAGGAAGATTATGAGTAGAATGAGGTAAAGGACGGAGGGAGGAGAGAGAAGGAGAGAGGAGGTGGAGGAGGGAGGGAGGAGATACGACAGCGGCGGTTGAGTGCCAAAGTGTGCCAGGCTGCTTCATGAAGGGAATACCTTTACGGCGCCGAGGCTGTGTTACGCCTTAGTGAGGCCATTTGTGGGACGAGAGACAGCGAATAATTCTCCTCTGACTGGGGCGTCGGCTCCCCTCAGGGCGGACGGGGAGAGGAGAATAGGGGGAGGAATGGCCGAAGAGGGAATGAAGAGAGGATTAAAAGGTATTAAGATGTTGAGAGTGAGAGATGGGGAGGAGGAGAGGAGGAGGAGGAGGAGGAGAGGAATCACTTGTCCTTGAGATCATTCATATCCTCATTTTCAGGACATGGCCCGATATAAGAGAAGATATTAAGATGTAGAAAATGAGAGAAGAAGAGGAGAAGGAGAGGAAGAGACACTTGTCCTTAAGTGTATTTGTTTTTCTCACCTTAAGGAGAGAAGAACGGGGAAGAAATGACCGAAGAAGAAATGAAGAGGGGGCAAAAACGCACTAAATTGTAGAGAATGAAAGGAGAGGAGGAGGAGAGGAAGAGGTGGAGGAGGAAAAAACAATTGTCCTCATCTATATCCTGCGATTGTATGGAGAGAAGATAAAAAAACATAATAAGAATAAGAGAGTGAGAGATGGAGAGGAGGAGAGGAAGTGAAGAAGAGCCAAATATAGCCAAGAACACTTGTCCTTAAGCTCATCTGTGTCCTCCTCTTAAGGAGAGAGATATACCTCAAAGAGACGCAATTGAAGGCCATAAAAAGATCTATTGGTCTATGAATTCAAGGCTTCCATTCATAGCGTGAAGAAGACGCCGACAGTAATAGTAAAATCCCATATCTTTATTTTTTTCTTCTTCTTCTTCTTTCTATGGCAATGCAGCGATCTTTGGAGTGAAAGGAAGACTTTGGAAATGGACGACCGGCTGTGGGTGTAAGGGCGTTTCCATGTACTTATCCCTGTTCTTTTCATTGATCTGTCGGGGATTTATGTAGGTTTATACGCCTTTATGTGTTTATGTACTGTATGCTTTATTGCTCTTATCTCCCTCTCTCTCTCTCTTATTGTCCTTTTACTCACCTACACGAGTACTGACGTATATATATATATATATATATATATATATATATATAATATATATATATATATATATATATATATATATATATATTATATCATTTGTGTTGTTGTTTCATAACATCTTTTATTCGTACTGCAATTATTGCTTGATTATCAATTTCTTTACAAGTAATGATGCAGTCGACGCCATCTTTGCCTCCTTATCCCTCTCATTTATCGTCCATTATCTCTAACCCTTTCGTGATTCAGAGTTTTCTCTACGCTTTTCAGGTTGCCAGAGAGTGAATTTAATTATCTTTTACAACGTAGGATATAATGAACTCTTGACTTATGAGAGTTGATAGGTCTTTCAGATGAGCGAAAGCTGTCGAGTGGATAGGATGAGATGGTGGGGAGGGGGGGGGGAGAAGGGGAGGGGCGGATGGTGCTTCGCTCTTCTCCCTCCTCCCCCTCTCCCCCTCCTCTTTCCTCCTCCCTCCTTCACTCATCTTCTTAAAAACTCTTAAGATTCAATTTTCTCCCTCTCTCTCTGTTTCCCTTCTTTCTCCTCCCTCTTCCTCTTTCTTGCTCTCCTCCCTTCCCTTCTCTTCCTCCCCCTTCCTTCTTCTCTTATCTCTCCTCCCCTTCCTTTCTCTCCCCTTTCCCTGACTTTCATCCATCCTTGTCCCTTCCCCTTCCCCTCACCCCCATCCCTCTTCTTCACCCTTCCCCATTCCTCTCCTTTACCTTCCCCCTCCTCCTCACTCCCTCCTTCCCCTCCCCTACTCCTCCTCCCCCTCCTCTCTCTCCCTCCCCCCTCACTCTCCCCCTCCCTTGCCCCCCTCCCCTCCCCTCCCCGTCTCCCTCGGAGTTAATCTCAGCGAGCAAGAGGCAAAAATGGGGGAGGGGAGGAGGGAGGGGAAAGTCTCCGTCCAGACTTTGTCCTAAGTTGTGTACACACTAAGTTAAAGTTGATGGATAACTTTAATTACTTAAGGGTTGGAGCTGGGAGCAACGTCGGGAGGGAATGAGGAATTGCGGGGAAGAGAGAAGATGAGGGGAGAGGAGGAGGAGGAGGAGGACGAGGAGAGGAAGGAGGGAGATGGGAAGGAGGGAGAGTGGGGATGAGAGTGAGGGGAGGAGGAGGAGGAGGAGGAGAGGGGAAGAGGGGGAGTGGGGATAGGAGGAGGGAGGAGGAGGAGGAGAGAGGGGGAAGGAGGGAGAGTGGGGGATGGGAGGAGGGAGGAGGAGAGGGGAAGAGGAGGAGGAGGAGGAGAGGGGAAGGAGGGAGAGTAGGGGGAGGGGAGGAAGGTAGGAGGGGAGAGGGGGGAAG